GACTTATCATCTGGGGTGATGTTAACTTCAGAAGCTGGAATAGTATCTATGGTACCTGGAGTTGGCATAGTATCAAAGTTTTTCTGGTATACCAAATATTTTAAATCCTAGACCATACATCATGACAGATTCTAGTGTTAAGTTAAAATTCAAAAGTATAAAGTGAATAACTGCAATAATTTTTTTTTTCAACTGAGATTCGCAGTAACTTGAATTTATTGTAAACAGACAAGTGACAATAAATTGAAACAAACATATTTGATTGAAAGCGAAATATACAAATATGAATCTTAAGACACAAAAGACTTATTCTGAAAGATTAGTGTTAAACGAACAATGTATTAAAATTGTTTTACAGAAGGAAGAAAAAGGAAACTATACGTACTGTCGGCACAGTCATGACCTATGTAACCTGGGAAACAGTGGCACTTTCCAAGCTGACAGTTTCCGTTATGATTGCAATCATTCGGGCACGTGGTCGGAACGTCATCTGCAGAGTAACAACTCACACATATAAGAAGCTTAATGAAATATTTTGAAACAATTGAAAAGGTATTCGGAATAAATATAAACATGTTTAATATGTTTAATACCACGGGATATGAATTAAACATATAATTATAAGAACTTACGAGTGAAAGTAAAAAAGAATATGTCAACGTCACTATATCTGCTATATCCAGTGCTGACGAGGTCTTTCACCCAACACCAGGGCTCATTTGGCTGGCGAACCAATAAGTTAGATCTTGTCAAAAGCACCTTAGGTGTGGAAATAAGGTGCGGCCAAAAATGGACTGAGTGTGCGGCTTTTTTTCACACCTAAGGTGTTTTTGATTAAATATCATGATTTTTTGTCAATACACACTAACAAACCACAGCAAGTAAGAAAGTGACACTCGATAATAACCAACATTAGCTTTAGGATCTAAACCCTATTATTCTAACAGACCTTTACTTTACAGAGCCAACCAGATTATTTATAAAATACTTTATAGTAATTTTTCTTCACTAAACCAGTGTTAATAACTATATTGATAGTAACGCCATGGAATCTAAATGAACAGTTTCTTGTCATCACCCGTTGCAATCGGTACAGTCGTACGAAGCATCATTATTTATGCTAATTGCTTAAGCTAGTATTACGTGACGCTAATTGTTCCTTAATTAGGATAATTTCATAAATCTTATCAAATTTGTGCTTAAAGGTTGGCAATGAATAATCAGTAATAACCATCCGTACATTGGTATGATTCTTTTGAAAACTTGAAACTGCTAATCTAGTTTGCTTGGCTTAACCAATACTTAGGTATCTACACGTGCTTTCCCCCTATAGTTTTGCTTCTCTAAATCAGCCGTCTTTAATCCGAACTAAAAACGGCCCTCTTTTACTCTGTATTAAAGATTTTAGACCGATAGCTCACGTGACTTTTTACATAGGCGTGTGCAAAAAAGTTTGGTCAAAATTAAGCGATTTTGTTGAATAACTATGCACATGTGGCTTTTATTTAGATATTCCATGTCAACAGGAACAAACACCTTACTTCTAATATATTCCATGTCAACAAGAACAAACACCTTACTTCTAATATATTCCATGGCAACAGGAACAAACACCTTGCTTCTAATATATTCCATATTAACAGGAACAAACACCTTACTTCTAATATATTCCATGTCAACAGGAACAAACACCTTACTTCTAATATATTCCATGACAACAGGAACAAACACCTTACTTCTAATATATTCCATGACAACAGGAACAAACACCTTACTTCTAATATATTCCATGTCAACAGGAACAAACACATTTTTTTCTAATATATTCCATGTCAACAGGAACAAACACCTTTTTTCTAATATATTCAGTTTAGACCTTTGGAAATATAACAACTATCTCAAATATAATAAATGTTTCCTTTTACACTTGAGTGCCTATTATATTAATAAATTCAATGTAAATGTAACATTGATTCACTTTAACGTTTACATTTAGTGTTAACCTTTTATTCTCCGGTATATTTTATTGATAAAATGAAAAAACTAAACTGGCCAATATTAATTAGAATTTTTGAAGAAAAGAACTATAGAATAAAACTCAGTATGGAAATCGGATGAAAAAGGATAGAATTGTACATTATACTTTTAACTACGTTTCAGTTAACTATTATCAAACTATTTTAACTACGTTTCAGTTAACTATTATCAAACTGTTTTAACTACGTTTCCATTAACTATTATCAAACTATTTAACTACGTTTCAGTTAACTATTATCAAACTATTTTAACTACGTTTCCATTAACTATAATCAAACTGTTTTAACTACGTTTCCATTAACTATTATCAAACTGTTTTAACTACGTTTCCATTAACTATTATCAAACTATTTAACTACGTTTCACTTAACTATTATCAAACTATTTTAACTACGTTTCCATTAACTATTATCAAACTGTTTTAACTACGTTTCTATTAACTATTATCAAACTGTTTTAACTACGTTTCCGTTAACTATTATCAAACTATTTTAACTATTATCAAACTGTTTTAACTACGTTGCCGTTAACTATTATCAAACTATTCGTATAGTAAAGTCTCTTTATTTATTTGTCTGTTATCTTCCTAAAAAATGAACATTTAATCACTTACTTGCTACTGAAGGCTGAATTTAGTCACTTACTTGCTACTGAAGGTTGAATTTAATTACTTACTTGCTACTGAAGGCTGAATTTAGTCACTTACTTGCTACTGAAGGCTGAATTTAGTCACTTACTTGCTACTGAAGGCTGAATCTAATCACTTACTTGCTACTGAAGGTTGAATTTAGTCACTTACTTGCTACTGAAGGTTGAATTTAGTCACTTACTTGCTACTGAAGGCTGAATTTAATCACTTACTTGCTGCTGAAGGTTGAATTTAGTCACTTACTTGCTACTGAAGGCTGAATTTAATCACTCACTTGCTACTGAAGGTTGAATTTAGTCACTTACTTCCTACTGAAGGTTGAATCTAATCACTTACTTGCTACTGAAGGTTGAATCTAATCACTTACTTGCTTCTGAAGGCTGAATTTAGTCACTTACTTGCTACTGAAGGTTGAATTTAATCACTTACTTGCTACTGAAGGCTGAATTTAGTCACTTACTTGCTACTGAAGGTTGAATTTAGTCACTTACTTCCTACTGGAGGTTGAATCTATCACTTACTTGCTACTGAAAGTTGAATTTAGTCACTTACTTGCTACTGAAGGCTGAATCTAATCACTTACTTGCTACTGAAGGCTGAATTTAGTCACTTACTTGCTACTGAAGGTTGAATTTAATCACGTACTTGCTACTGAAGGCTGAATCTAATCACTTACTTGCTACTGAAGGTT